TAGCCAGAAGGGCGAGGTTAGCCTGTCTGAGAGGTCGGAGACCTCCACCCCCCTGCAGCCTAGGTTCAGTCATCTTATCCCACGACACTAGATGCATCTTCCCCTTGTCATCCTCCTTACCCCAAATAAAATCCCTGTTAATCTTATCTATGGCATTGCAGACATTCTTAGGGATCAATTCAGATTGCATGGAATAAGTGGGAATAGCAAGAGAGACAGAACGAGTGACCGTAATTCTCGCGGCAAGGGATAGTCTCCTGGCTTTCCATGGAGCCAGCTTCTTTTGGATTTTCAGAATCAGAGGCTGGTATCGGCTTTTCGTAATCCGCCCGTGGATGGCTTGAATTCCTAGATACCGCCCGAGATTAGTTACAAGCGGCATGGCTGCCCTGTCACTAAGCCGCCGAGCTCTGTCCTGTCTGATGTTCGGCGACACATACAAGACAGACTTGGCAAAGCTCACCCGTTGACCTGAACTGGCACAAAACTCATCCAGGCAATCCCTGATAGCTCTTATCTGAGTCCCTCCCGCCTCTGCAAAAAGCACCAGATCATCTGCAAAAAATAAATGAGATAAGGCAGGACCCCTCGGAGATAAGCGGATAGGTTTCCATTGCTTATCCCAAACGGCCTGGTCGATTCTATGAGATAACCGTTCCATGAAGAGGACAAAAAGGTATGGAGAGAGAGGGTCTCCCTGGCGGACACCCCGAGTGGGAGTGATGACTGACGTGAGCTCCCCGTTCCATAGAATCCTTGTCTTGTTGTGCTCCACACAATACATAATCCCCCGGATCCACGAACTCGGAAGCCCTACTTCAATCAAGGCGTCCCTCAAAAAATCCCACCGAAGCCTATCATAAGCCTTCTCGAGATCCACCTTCACTACCATGCCCCCCTTCTTTCCCCGCTTCTTCCGCAAGGAGTGCAACACTTCCTGCACAACAAGGATGTTATCGGTCGTTTGCCTTCCCGGAATGAAGCTGCTTTGCCTCGGAGAGACTAGCTTCCCCATAACCTCCTTCAATCGACTGGTAAGGGCCTTCGTGATAGCTTTGAGGCAGACGTTGTTGAGAGAGATCGGGCGAAGCTGGGTAACTGACTCAGGTTTGTCCACTTTAGGAATGAGGACAACCGTGGATTCAGTGACCGCTTCCGGCAATGTCCCCTGCTCAAAAAAGAAAAGAGCCATGTCAGTAAGCGCTTTCCCCACCACCGCCCAAGCTTTCTGATAAAACAAGGCTTGAAAGCCATCAGGTCCCGGAGCTTGAAGCGGTTTCATCTCGAACACAACTTTGTGGATGTCGAGGATGCTAAAAGGCCGGAGGACATGGAGCCAGTCATCTTGATGCAGCCGCGGAAAACATCCTTTGGGGAGAAGGTCTACATAAGGTGAATTATCCTGCAAATAAAGCTCAGAGAAAAAATTATAAACAAGTTTTAATAATTCATCCTTCTCACTGACCCATTCCCCATTGGTATCCTTGAGACACTCGATCTTATTCCTCCGCCGTCTAATGTTGGCCAGCTGATGGAAATAGGCTGTGTTCCGTTCCCCAAACTTCACCCAATGCTCCCTAGCTCTTTGGAACCATATAAGCTCCTCCTGCTCCATAGTTTTGTCGAGCTCCTTCTCCAGCTTAGAGCGCAGCTTGAGGAGACCCGGGGAGAAAACGTTCGCCAGACGACGCTCTATCCCTTCAATCCTAGCCACCAGCCTCTTCTTTCTTTGGAAAACATTTCCAAAGGTCGAGGTATTCCAAAGCTGGAGCTTCTTGGAGAGATCCTGCAACGCCATAGGCAAAACATTCTGTGAGTTCCAAGAATTAGCAAGAAAAGATAAAAAGTCCTCATGGGTGAACCAGGCTGCCTCAAACTTGAAACGTCTAGTGGAAAGGTTAGGGCCTCCCTGATTTGACACTGTTGTGAGAACCGGATGATGATCAGAGCTCAGTCGCGCCAGGTGACTCACGGACGTATTTGGGAACCCCTCATTCCACTCCAAGTTGCATAGGCTTCTGTCGATCCTGCTAGCTTTGTAGGTCGCATTCTCCTTCCCCCTAGACCAGGTAAAACGAGGGCCAGAGAAACCGAGGTCTACCAGCTCCGCTTCATTAATGAAATCCCCAAACCGCTTACATCTGCGAAAAGTGGCCGGCGAGGGAGGCCCTGTTTTCTCATCCGGATGAAGAATTGCGTTAAAATCGCCGGTGAGAACCCACGGGCAGTCCACCCGTTTACTTTGCTCGATGATATCGCTCCAGAGAAGGCGTTGAAGATGCTGCCGGGGAGAGGCATACACGGCTGTGAGCATCCACGGGGCCTGATTACCATCCGAAACTTTAACAGAGAGATGCTGATGCCCTGCCGTGACAACCTGCACCGAAAAATTATGAGAATTCCAAAGAAGCCAAATCCCTCCACTCCGCCCCTGAGCTTCAATGCGAAGGACATCGGGAAAGCCCAGCTTCTCACAAACCACATTCGCCGCCCCTCCACTAACTTGGGGCTCGAGAAGAATGACGAAGTCCGGTTTATGCATCTGCAAAACAAGCTTCAAGGAGCGCAAGAAGGAATTCCCTCCGGCACCCCCGACATTCCACGATAAGATTTTGAAATTATACCTATTATAACCAGACATTTAAAAACTAGGTAGAGAGAAATGCGAAAGAATATAAAGCAACAGAAGGCAACGCGAACACCAGGCAACAAGAGAGGAAGGAGTTCACCGGGGGACATCATGAGGCTGGTCGACAAGATCGAAATCGGCCACCGCCGACTCCGTCACCTCACCGATTACCTCCGCGTTATCCTTCTTCTCCTTTTCCGAAATGGTCTTTCCGGTCCACTCACTAATCTGCTGCAAAGTTAGAGCCACCCTCTGCTCCTTGTTTTTGTTTCTTTTGTCTTTGATAGGAGACCAATATTGCAGCGTCTTCTTGGGATTGCGGCGGAGAGGAGTTAATTTCGCAGGTGTCGGGGTCTTGCTCGCCTGTCCATTCTTCCTTTCCTTCTTTTGTTTAGTTCTCGACACCGCCGAGGGCAAGGACGGGTCGACGACACGAGGAGGCGGCTGCTCATAAGGCTTGACTTCTACAATTTGAATGTTGACTCCATTCATTTTCTTGGAGGAGTTCGTTTCTGATCCCTGATTATTCTCCTTCTCATTGTAGCGGGCTCCATCAGCTGACTTCGGGCTCTGTCTGGAAGTGGAGGCCTCATTAGCCTTCTTGTTGAGGATGGGCTTGGCCTGCACAGATACAAGAGGCTTGGGTTTGGGCCCAAGGAGACCAACTTCTGCCGAGTCCATAACCTCTTTCCCCTTTCGTTCCTTGCCTGTATCCCCCTGACCTTTCTCTTTTGATTTCCCTGAGATGGAGCCACGAGCATTGAAATCTTTTCCCTGAGTCTTCCCAGCCAAAAAAGGCGCCGATCCCCCCTTATCCTCCTTCGTCGCCACTTCTACTTTCCCGGAATTAGCCCTTTCTTTTCCGTTAGAACTTACCAAAATTGCCTCTGCCTTACCATGTTTTTGGGGATCACGAAGATTGCGGCGTGATTTCCGTGATACTAACATCCACGGACCGAAACCAGCAGAGTCCTCCGATGACTCCACGGCACCGGCGCCCGGCGGCGGTGAGGACGTACCAGAGAGCGTAGCGACGGTGAGAGCTTGGGAGAGAGCCGGGCAATTAAGCTTGGTATGCCCAATTTTACCACACTCAAAGCAAACCACGGGGAGATTCTCGAATTCGACCTTCTGCCACTTGCCATCCAATCGAATCCGGGGAACCAAGGGTTTAGAGAGGTCAACCTCCACCGCCATACGAGCAAACCTTGCTCTTTGTTGATTAGCCGTGTGAAAATCAAGCTTGATTGCCCTTCCGATCATGTTTCCCAGCGCAAATAGAAGCTCTTTGAGATAAAAATGGACGGGGAAACCCGGGAACTGCACCCAGACAACCATGGTGCTTGTGAGCTTATCTGTTACACGAAAAGATGGAGTCCATTGTTGCACAACCAGATAATGATCATAGATCACCCACGGTCCTTCTGTAAGGGCTTTAAAATAATCCAAATAGTTTTCAAGTTTCACCAGGAAGCAATCCTGATCCAAAGCGAAGACCTCAAAACCCGCTGTTGGCCGCCATAGGAATCGAATTCTATTGCAGAGAGTGGTATATCCAATTGATCGGCCAAGCAGTCGAACCACCAGTGTCCGTTGCCACGGCTCACTGAGCTTATTCTTGAAATTCTCCGATAATTGGAGCTCTGGTTCCCCGTTGAAGGAACCTGGGACCAGGTCTCTCTCCCCCACCGGAATCCATTGAGCTGTCAGAGGCCTTGGAGCATCACTTTCCCCGTCACGGCTTTCGCATAAGATCCCCGAACCTTCCCGCCGGGACTACCGATCGGATTCAATAATGAGGAGGTTCCTGATCCGGCGATAGCTCCGCCGGAATCCGCAGTCCCTTTCCTACCCGAGAGTGCCCCTTCCTCCTGACCATTATCAACCAGCATCTCTGTAGCTATGTCCGACGGTGAGACTACACCCCCTGCATCAGTCCCAGCAGAGGCGGGCGGCTGATCCATGTCCGGGGGTCGGCCCGTCGGCGTAATTGTCGATGTCACGGTCGCCATCACAGAGGAGTTAGCACAGAGCATATTCGGCGTTCACAATAATTCCGTCCTTCAACCTCTTTGAGATTAGGATTTAGGAAGTATTCTATTGGTATTCGTCATTACCAAAGGCCAATATCCTTGTGGCCTTGTTAGATGTAAGATAAAAAAATATATAGCAAGTTAAGTTATCAAATGAAAGAGCGCAAGTGTAGGAGTCATTTGTGTAAGAACGCATTTGTGTTGGTCGTTAGTTACGGCTGAAGACCTGTTCTCCCATTTTCCCCCCTTCATTTCCCCACAGCCCCACCAAAAAAGCAGCTAGCTTGTGCCCATATCCCCACCCCTCTCTTTCTACCAATCTACTTGTTCTTGTTTGACAATCTCATATCTTTTGCCAATTTGCTCATTACTTGATAGATAACCAAGCGCCTCCTTCATCAATCATCAATCATGGATGAAGAGTACGATGTGATCGTTCTGGGGACTGGTCTCAAGGAATGCATCCTCAGCGGCCTTCTCTCTGTTAATGGCCTAAAGGTCCGTTATTACTTTACTACCTTTCCGAAAAATGTATACGATACGATTCAAAGCACGTTGATATGATTCTTACGCAAAAAAACATGCGAATTAGGTGTCGTGACCCTTTAGATGCTACCAAATTTTTTCCAATTATTATTATTATTATTATTTTGGTAGTCGCGGTTGTCAATGTGATATGAAGAACAAGTATTGTGTCTATCGACAGGTTTTGCACATGGATCGAAATGATTATTACGGGGGTGCTTCGACTTCACTTAATCTTAACCAGGTGATAGCTTCCTTCTTGTCTCCTGTTATTGCTTATTTCAATAATTCATCAAATCCTCTGTACGTTGGTACACCAGTTAATCATTGATTAATTGTGATCTCCTTCAATTTTTGTGTGCTCTCCATTGATAGCTTTGGAAGCGATTCAGAGAAAACGATACGCCTCCAGAGAGCCTGGGAGCAAGCAAGGAGTACAACGTTGATATGGTACCTAAGGTAATTAATGTCTGATTTCACTTAATTAATTAATTAATTAATTAATTGTTCACCAACATGCATGGTTTTAACACCAACTCTTATGTCATATGTATTATATGTTGCAGTTCATTATTGCCAACGGCAATTTGGTTCGAGTTTTGATCCATACAGGTGTTACCAAGTACCTGAACTTCAAAGCTGTTGATGGCAGCTACGTGTATAATAAGAACAAGGTCTGATTATTACGTCTTCTTCTTCTTCTTCCAGTTTCAGATGTCTATAATAAGAACAAATGATTGTTACTACGTACTTGTTCTGTCAGATCCACAAAGTTCCAGCAAACGATGTGGAGGCGCTGAAATCTCCATTGATGGGGCTTTTCGAGAAGCGTCGAGCTCGAAAATTCTTCATCTATGTCCAGGATTACGAGGACAGTGATCCCAAATCCCACGAGGGTCTGGATCTGACCAAAGTTACTGCCAGAGAAATTATCTCGTAAGCAGCACGCACGTTTTTGCACAATTGATTTTACATTGTGTTACTTCTACTATACACATTATTCATTCTTAATTACCCACGGGAACTTTAGATACCAAAATGGAAAGGATCTTTAAACAAATTAAGCATTGCAATGTGGTTTGTTACTAAGATTTGATTTCGTGTTAGATCGGATCACTATTTGTGTTGCTACTAAGATTCGGTCATATTATAAAATTTGCAGAAAATATGGGTTGGAAGATGATACAATCGACTTCATTGGACATGCATTGGCGCTCTATCACGATGACAGCTACTTGGATCAACCCGCTCTTAATTTTGTAAGGAGAATAAAGGTGAAACTCTATTGACTTGTGATATGATGGATAAGAAAGCACATAAATTTGCACAAAAACCATTCAAGATTTACTCTGATTTTGAATTATTTAGCATTTAGAAATTTACGGTTAAGATTTAGAATTGAAAGCTTAAGGTTTAGGATAATTTATTGATTTAGTTGTGATTTTATTTTATATAATAATATTAGACGAATGTTATCAATTAAAATTCAAAATTTGATGTTGTTGGGACAGCTTTATGCGGAATCTTTGGCACGTTTTCAAGGAGGCTCGCCCTACATCTACCCACTCTACGGATTAGGCGAGCTGCCTCAGGTAAAGAATGTTATCCCATCCTAATTAATAATTTTGATTTGTGGCTAATCAAATACTTAAGCCGGCAGGGAAAACATGCATGGAGCCAGATAATTAAGATTGTTCGTTTCTTGACAGGCATTTGCACGCTTAAGTGCAGTTTATGGTGGGACGTATATGCTTAACAAGCCAGACTGCAAGGTGATTATTACACTTACAATATATTCATAATCAAGATTAGTTGAGAATAATTAATTATCTACGTAATGAAATGACTCACGGCAGGTGGAGTTTGATGAAAGCGGGAAAGCAATTGGAGTCACTTCTGAAGGAGAGACCGCCAAGTGCAAGAAAGTCGTGTGCGACCCTGCGTATCTCTCTGATAAGGTAATATACTATTTCATTTGTTGGCTATCCTTAATTAATTACCCTTTAATTCATTTTGTTCTTATCTTAAATTTAATTAAATGATCAGGTTAAAAAGGTTGGCAGAGTTGCTCGTGCTATATGCATAATGAGTCATCCCATCCCAAACACACATGACTCTCATTCTGTCCAGCTTATTCTTCCTCAGAAGCAACTTGGTCGTAAATCAGATATGTAAGGCGCCACACTCGATGTATCTTAATATCCCTTATAATTTGTATTATAAATGTATTTTATAAATTCTTAAAAATGGGAAAATCCATTTTCAAACTTGCGTTATATTTTTTTCTACGTTGAATCTGTATTAGATGAATTAATTTGCTACGCCACTGCATGCAGGTACCTGTTTTGTTGCTCTTATGCACACAACGTGGCAGCAAAAGGGAAGTACATTGCATCAGTTTCAACTGAAGCAGAGACTGATAACCCTGAGGCCGAATTGAAGCCGGGCGTCGACCTTCTTGGGCCCTTGGACGAGATCTTCTATGACAGCTACGATAGATATGTTCCTACAAACAGTACTGAAGAGGATAACTGCTTCGTATCCACTGTAATTAAAGCATCTACTAATTAACATACCTATCTTCCTTAATTCCTTTTGGCCAAGATAAAAAAAATGGCCATTTTAACCATCTGACTTCATCATGTGCAGAGTTATGATGCAACGTCACACTTTGAAACGACGGTAGATGATGTTATTGAGATGTACAGTAAGATCACTGGAAAGGTAATGTTCGATTTAATTTATGTGAAAAGATAGCTAGCTAGTCTTTTCGTATGATTTATAATCTCTTATACCATTAATCGGTGTTGTGATGTGTGTTTGAAATATTGGAACAGGAGCTCGATCTGTCCGTCGACTTGAATGATGCAAGTGCTGCCGGTGATGAGTAAAACTTATAAACATAATTTTTCCTAATATCTATTTTGCCCTTTTTTAAAAAAGAAATTTTCATTTCCATTGGGCAGAAAAATGTGGATTCTCTGTTTTTTTTTTTTTTTGAACATTCTCTGGTTTTGGTTGTGAGTGAGAGACTATTTTATTATTCAATATATTGCTCTACTAATGTAGTTTTTTCTAATCAATTTTGGATACATATAATTGTTCAATACTTCAATTCAAAGAACTATGATATTTTTTTCCTTACAATTGTTACGTTGGTTGTTGACTTCAAGATCTTTCGGTTAGTGAGCATATAATTTAGTCTTTAAGAATTGGGTTAGCTCATGGATGCCATTGTCAATATCTTAAACCAACGTCCAATACTATCCATCTATAAGTTGAAAACATTCAGCATACTCAAAGATGAGATGATATTCAACTAACAAAGGGCGAAAATTATCATGTGTCTCTAAACTTGCCATATTAATTCATGTTTACCACTAAACTGATTTTTAATTCAATTAAACCACTAAACTTACTTTAAAAGCTCACTGTCCATCACTTCCGTTACAACTTAACGGAAGCCATCTTAACGATGCCGAAAAAGCACTAACAATGATGACGTGGCGGCACCTAATTCCTATTATTTCACATTAGCATTTCTATACCTTAACCAAACTCTACCCAAAAAAGAAAAAATTTGGAACCCTAATTGTTTTTCCCAATTATTCCATACCCCCGTTGTCCATCTTCCCCAAAAGCTGTTGTTCATCATCCCCAAAACCACGTACAGAAATATAAAAATCCAAGCTTCTCGTTTGAAAACTCCAATTCGTGCCAACACCATAATAACCCCAAATTAGGCACACATACATATCTTGGAAAATACGTCATTGGTTCAACGGTTATTACGATACTAGCTTTTTTATTATTGGTTGTGAGTGAGAGACTATTTTATTATTCAATCTATTACTCTGATAATGTAGGGGGTCGTTTGGAAAATATGAGTTTAAATCTACATATTATCAACAACTTAAAGATTCTAACTCTTCGGATTGTTGAAAACAGATTTTAAAATGTTTATTGTTAGGTAACTGTTATTGATAACAATCAATTAAAATAAAAAATTTATTTTATATTAAATAACATGTTTATCCTTAATAAAAAAATTAGAGTGGTTCGAGAAATATAAAAAAAAACTTTGTTGATAAATATATTCATGTGATAAATAAATAAAAGGAAGAGAAAAAATCTCACGAATCAAGATATAGAATCTCTCTGATTATGAGAGATTTGATATCCGCAGACTTTAGAGATTTGCTAGAATCCACAATACAAAAAGTAACAAAAAAAGATAACTTTCTACAAAATCTACGGATTCAATGAATCCATGTCCTGAATCCTGTTCTCCAAACGACCCCGTAGGTTTTTTCTGATCAAATTTGGATACATATAATTGTTGGGGACTTGGGGTGTGCCTACGGGGACATGCATGTCACGGTGACTTGCACTTTCCGGTCGACCTCGGTTAGGATTAAGTCGACCTCATTTAGAATTCGGTCGACCTCATATAGGATCTGGTCAACCTCATTTAGGATTCGGTCGACCTCATATAGGATCAGGTCGACCTAATCTGTTGTTTCAGTGTAAAAACAGTTCATGGTGCCTACTTTGGATATTCATATCATACAATTGGCTAGATGGAAATTGAAGACAAATGACTTGTTTTGAAGCTGGAGTGTCCCTCTACATATTGAAGTGATTGAGAGCTCGATAGAAAGTCCAGAAGACCATTTTTGAACCTCATCAAAAGGCTATGCCAAAACTAGGAAACTGTCTGGAAATGACTAAGTCTGGAAACGTGTTTGTGAAGCCTATTTTGGAGCTCAATTCCAGAAGCATGAATGCGAGTCGAGTCCAGGAGCCTCTACCACGTTAAATTAGGTATGTTTTTATACAAATTCAAAGGCATTGGATGAAAGATTGGATATCTGTAAGGCTTCAAACAAAAGGGTTGAAGTTGCTACGAAAGCTGTTTTTCTGGCAGACTTCGAGCACAAGCAAGCTGCCAGAAAAACAGCCTTCGTAGCAACTTCGAGCCTTTTGTTTGAAGCCTTAAAGATATTCAATCTTTCATCCAATGCCTTGCCTTTGTATAGAAAAATACTTAATTTAACGTGGTAGAGGCCTCTGGACTTGACTCGCATCCATGCTTCTCAAATTGAGCTCCAAAGTAGGCTTGACAAACACGTTGCCAGACTTAGCCATTTTCAGGCAGTTTCCCAGTTTTGGCATAACCTTTTGGTCAGGTTCAAAAATGGTCTTCTGGACTTTCTATTGAGCTCCCAAGTACTTTAATGTGTAGAGGGACACTTCAGCTTCAAAACAAGCCTTTAATCTCCAATTTCCATCTAGCCAATTGTAAGATATGAATCTCCAAAGTAGGCACCATGAAACTATTTTTACACTGAAACAACAGATTAGGTCGGATCCTAATTGTTGTATACTTCAATTCAAAGATTGTGATATTTTTTCCTTTACCATTGTTTCGTTGCTTGTTGGCTCCAAAATCTTTCCGTTAGTGAGCATATATTTTAGTCTTAAGAATTTGGTTAGCTCATGGATGCCATTGTCAATATCCTAAACCAACGTCTAATACCATCAATCTATAAGTTGAAAAAACTCAACATACTCCAAGATGTGATGATATTGAACTTACAGAAATATAAAAAACCAAGCTTCTCGTTTAAAAACTCCAATTCGTGCCAACACCATAATGGCACTACGAGCAAATATAGAGTATAACGAGAGATCATGACAGTCACTACAACAGAAACTGCCTTTTGTGACGAATAAAAACGGTCGCTAAATGTCAAATTTTTGTCGCGAATTCTATGTTGTGACCAAAAAAATTTGGTAGAAGCTTTGGTAATATTTGCCGTGTTAGGAAAACCATTTTGTGACCAAATTTTTGGTTTGGTCACAATACATCATATTTTTGTGACGAAAGTCCCAATTGGTCACAATTTTTTTTATTTGCAACCAAGACAATTGGTAACAAAAAAAACTGTCAAAATAATCACAAAAGAATACCTGATTGGTCACAAATAACATGAAAACCAACCTATTCATATATAATTTACCAACCAAATGATCAAGTCACAAAAGCAATTATTTAAAACCAAAGAATTTGGTTACAAAACTATTCTTCATAGCTAATGTAATTATCATTAAGTAACCAAAAATTTTGGTTATGAAACTCTTATCCTTACCAATATTTGATGGTCGCTATATAATCAAAATATGAATAGTCATTTTGGTTTTAAAAATTATATAATGTAACCAATTTATTTGTTCAACAATAACTATTTTCATTGGTCACAAATATTATTTCCAACCAATGTTTTATGGTAACCATACGTTCTAAATGTAACCGTTTTTTTTGTTATAAAATGTTCTAAATATGACTGCGTTGAATAGTCATTTTGGTTTTAAAAAGTATATAATGTAACCAATTTATTTGTTCAACAATAACTATTTTCATTGGTCACAAATATTATTTCCAACCAATGGTTTATGGTAACCATATGTTCTAAATGTAACCATTTTTTTGGTTATAAAATGTTCTAAATATGACTGCTAATTTGGTTATATATATATATATATATATATATATATATATATATATATATATATATATATATATATATATATATATTAGTTGAGAAAGGCTATAAATTTGGTTATATTACCATAACGTAATGCAACCAATTTAGGGCAATAATGGTATAATGGTCACATTATATTTCCAATCAAATACCAACTTACATTATTTCATAGCAGTTCTAATTCATTAAAAAAATACAAAAATATGAGAAACTAAAATCTGCCAAAGAAATCACTTTGGCTTGAGAGTTGACCCAGCTCCTTTCTTCTGCCCCTTGTTCGAAATACCTGCACCATATATAGTACAAACTCAGTGAACAAAACAAGATCCTTGGTTCTGAACAACAAATCAAAACAGTATGATTACCAAAGCAAATATAACTCTATACTTTTATCAGCCTTTTGTTTCAGCTTTAGACTTGTGAGTTCCCAAAGCCAAGTATCATTACCACCCAACCATTGTATTGCCTGCATACAGATCAGTCAATTTACAGTATTAGCTAAGGTAGTATTTGCATAGGATATGTGAGTGACTTTCATGAAAACCTGAGATTCAGTGGTAAAAGGATAAAGATGCATAGGATATGCAGATTGCACTTTTACTTGATGAACAGAAGGATGTGTTCATATTCATTTACCCTCTCTGAAGCCGCTCTTGAACCTGCAGGGGAGATAACGGAGGTACCTCATCCTTCCAGTTCCAGTGGTCTTTCTGCGGATAGCCTTCTCACTCCAGTTATCTAACAAGCATAATAATAAACGAGTCAACACAACACAAGCCATTAAAAGCAAAGACAACAAGACATAACATGCACCAAAATAAGCATAGTGAGCAGATTGTCCTATCTGCATTCCTTCACCAGTGGAAAGATAAACACTTAAAACACTATGAACAACAAATGATTTATCTACAGTAAATTTAGCATGGTCAAGGAAAGAACAAATGTCTTAAAAAAGCACTTAACAACAACTTCAACCTAAGGTAACATGAATCCAAAAGCACATCAGCCTCAACCTGATGTTATCACAAATCCATAAACCATTTCATCAGAACAAACTAACTGGATAAAAGGTTCTATCTCTGTCGAGAATATTCCGAATCCATATACACGGCTAAAATCAATTAAGAACCTAAGCAGAGACATATTCATGGAAAAGAGACACAAGTTCTTTTTTCTCCTCCACCCCCTTTCCGACAAAAGTGTGGCAACCTAATAGGAGATACATTTATGTTCTTGTGTTCTGTATGCATTCTATGTTAGTATGTAAGCTATTTCGATAAATCGAGACTTATTAAACTGAATCAGCAAAAGTGCAACTGACTGAATCTCCTCACACAAACAATAACACGAACACATGGCAGGTATGCTTCCACATGATGATCGACCTTCTCCGAACACATGCCAACGCCGAAGAAAATGAGGTGAGGCGAATAATCACGCTATAGAAACCAATTCAAATCCAACATATTCTACTGAGCTAAACATTTGAAACCAATTCAAATCCAAGAGATTGACCTCTGCGTACCTTTTTCATCAGGAGATCGAGGCAATACTGCTATTCGATTTTGCTGCAGCAACATGTTCTCACCGATTGATTCGTCGTCGACCGCAATTGAATGAATTCATTGATTCTTGAAGCACTGTGGTTCCCATGGAAGAGTCGAAGGCGATCCCGAGCACGAAGGAGAGTGAGCGGCGGCGGCAATATCGCGGACGAAGGATGAGCGGCGGCGATCTTGCAAGCGAAGGATTGAGCGAGTCGAAGGCGATCTCAAAGGCGAAGGAGTGAGCGGCGGTGGTGGCGGCGATCTCGCGGCGAAGGAGTGAGCAAGTCGACGGCGACCTCGAAGGCGAAGGAGTGAGCAGAGGCGGACGCGATCTCGCCGGCGAAGGTGTGAGCGGCGGTGAATCGAGGGCGAAGGAGTTTGGAAGATTGAATGGCGGAGACTAGGGATCTAGATAGAGATATCTCACTAGTAGTACCTGACGTATAGTATACGCCTGACGCACACCAGTCTGACCCATATATATAGTTTAATACCTTCTATCATTTTATCGTTTAATACCTTGAATGCATTAATAAAGTGGTAAACAAGGATTCAACAGCAACAGGAAGAGCATTCAACAGCTACTCATACATCAGCATCTTCATCCGACTCAACTTCCACGTGCTCGGCAACTTCAACATCACTTAAGTAATCTTCAAAGGTATCATCTACTTCTTCATAATCATCAACAAAGATCTCATCATCCTCAACAGCATGGTCACTCTCTATAATACGAACTTGAGTAGCATCCACTATTTCAGCATCTAAATTAGATCTACTCAAACCTGTCAAGTGTTGCTCCTCAATGACAAGACTTGCATCTACATTCGAAACTTCTTCTTGAAATGCAATGTCGACATTGTTTTGTACTTCTTCAGAATCGACTACTTCAGAAGGTGCTATGGGGACATCAAAAATATGTCTATGTCGACACTTCCGTACTACTTTCCAATCCTTACCCAACTTAGTATCTTTGAGGTAAAATACTTGCTTTGCTTGGTCAGCCAGAATGAAGGAGTCATTCTCATACCAAAGACTACCAACATTGATGCTAGTGACATGGCCATCTGTTTGAATACCCTTCTTCCTACCATCCAATTTGAACCACTCACACTTGAATAATACCACCTTCTTGTCCTTAACATACTCAACAACAAGAATCTCATCAATAACCCCATAAAAGTCAATCAACTTATTCCCATGGTATCCTTCAACCATGACTCCGCAAGTTTGAGTTCTAGTATGAGCATTTCGATCTTTTGTATGGAATCTTACTCCATTCACTATACATCCGGCGTACTTCTTCACACCGATATGAGGGCCACATGCCAAAGCATACATAGGCGTTGTCACTTCGGGTGGCTCACGAAAATATAATCTTTGAATCTACAAGTAATAGCACATGGTAAAGATGGAGTAAATGTCTAACTAAGTGACTTCAATACAAATCAAAATGAAAGGAGATGATTATTATGATTGCATATACTTACATGATTCTTAAACCACAGTGGAAATTGTTCACGTTGCCTTGATTGCAAATTCAACTCGTTTTCCTGTCTAAGCTCAGTTTCTTGAAGGTTGGATCATAAAATTAAGATTAGTTACTAGTGTGTAAAGTTCAAAAAAATTCAAATGAGTAATTATATGATGTACTCACTTCAAATATTCTTGTGCCTCGGAGAAATTGTTCAGAATATACCACATTACTATCTCCAGTTATTTTTTACCCATGTTCACATAGTTAAATGCTCCTAATGGTCGAACCTTTTGAGAAAAAATAGATAATCCACCATCCTCTATGTTGTCAACATTCCGCTCTTCACGATTAAATTGAGTTTCAATACCTTGAAGGTACATTGAGCAAAACTGTATTCCTTCCTTCACCTCATAAACCTCTGCAATGGAACCTTCGGGTCGAGCCTTATTTCGAACAGTACCTTTCAATGTTCGTAAAAATCTGGAAATGAAAATGAAGGTATAAGTAAAACGAATAGAGGAGAAGCTAAATATTTTGAAGTAGTATTGTTACCTCTCGATTGGATACATCCATCTGAATTGAACTGGTCCTCCAAGTTTAACCTCCTTAGGTAGATGAATCGCCAGATGCACCATTACATCAAAAAAGGCCGGAGGGAAAACCATCTCAAGCTTGCAAAGTATGACCACTATATCTTTCTCCATTTGCTCAATATCGGCCATGTGTATTGTCTTACAACACAACTTCCTAAAGAAATCTCCCAACTCTGCCAAGACAATATACACTTCTTTTGGCAAAAAGCTACGAAATCCAGCAGCTAATAATTGTTGTAGAAACACATGGCAATCATGACTCTTCAAGCCTACAAGCTTCCCATCAACTGGATTGGCACAACGAGATATGTTAGAAGCATATCCATCAGGAAACTTCACCGACTTCAAAAACTCACAAAATTTCAATCTTTCTTTTTTGGACAATACATAACAAGGAGGGGGGATCTTATAAGAACCATCATCCTTCTCCTCCAAATGTAGTTCACTTCTTATACCCATATCCTTCAAGTCCAGCCTTGCTTTAATTGTATCCTTTGTTTTTCCATCAATGTTTAACAAAGTCCCCAAAATGCTTTCGCAAATATTTTTCTCAATATGCATTACATCAAGATTGTGCCTCAGTTTCAACTTTCTCCAATAAGGCAAATAAAAAAGAATAGACTTCCTTGTCCAATTCAGCTCTTCAGGGGTGCGCTTTTTCTTTCTGTTACCTGGATGCTTACCAGGAACCAATACAGGAAGACTCTCCAATTGGTTTAGAATATCATCACCCGACATTTCTTTTGGTGCCCACTTGATGATCTACATTTCCATCAAATTCTTGACTTCTCCTCCATCTATGATTAGCAGCCAAGTGATAACGATGCCCCGTATAACAAATCTTGCTTCTTAACTTCTTGCTACGTGTCTCCTTGTTACAAACAGGTCAAGCCAAATATCCTTTCGTGCTCCACCCAGAGAGAGTCCCATAAGCAGGAAAATCATTGATAGTCCATAAAACAGCTGCATGCATTTGAAAATTTTCCGTGCTTTATGCATCATATGTTTGGACACCCTTTTCCCAAAGAAGCTTCAATTCCTTCACTAATGGTTGTAAGAAAACATCAATATCTTTCCCCGGAGCAGTAGGTTCAGTTTCAACATATTAAAAGACTTATTACTCCACCTATTATAAACTTTCAGATGCATCAATTTCAAAACAAAAGATAATTTTGAGAAACTATCACAACCTGGATATAGTTCTATTCTTGCTTCATGTAATAGTTTCTCAAAATTAGGAGTCTCAAGCCTTGTCTCATTTTCATCAGCACTTGAATTATTATCCACATATGCACCCAAGTCATCCAACATTTCATCCAATCCATCGTCACCATAATGGGAATCCATTCCCAAACTCATAGTATCTCCTACATCTCCATCCAAATTCTCTTGAGTGGGAAGTCCGTAAGTAGATTGTTCTCCATGATAAATCCATTCCTTATATTGTGTGTCTATCCCCTTAATAAACAAATGATCGAACACTACCTTTTGACTGAACGTATATGCATTTAAGCATTCAACACAAGGGCAACGTATCTCACACAAACTACTCATATGTTCTTCAACAAACTTCATGAAATCCCTAACCCCCTCTATATACTCCATCGACCATTTTCTTGCTGTCATCCAATCCTTGTTCATGGTGTAAAACTCTAATCCAACAGCCAATCTCTCAAATCACAACACATACAAGCATAAAGAGTAGTAGCCAACTAAAATATAAAAAGAACACATATATCACAACATTATCCAGAGTTCAAACTACCCAGTTCTATAAACAAGGTAATAACCAAAGAGATTAACTCACCCGTGAAATCCAGCTTCTCAGGCAAGCTCAATTGTATAACAATCGATTCCCAAGTTATGACCTCCGTGTTCTTGGGGTGCTGTAACTCTCATGGCTCCAATTAGGGTTAAGCACTTCCAAGGAATAATGGAGTTGATAGTTGTTGACATCCAATTAGTCTTACCAGGTTTTGGTCAAGTCGGCTTGAAATGGTGAAGAAGACAGAGATTGGTGGGGATGGAGAGAATAAGAAAGATATGGTGGCAATGGGATAAAGAAAATGCCACAAGAACAGGGGAGAGAAGAACAGAGACTCACGAAAGACGAAATAGAAAGGGTTTTTGGCTTTTTGGCCTAAGAGAGAGATAAAGGTTCTTTTGTTTTGTGCCCATATTTTATTTTGATAGAGAGAGAGAGATAAAGGGTCTTTGCTGATTAAATTCTTCTTGAGTACATAAAAGGGTTTCGACTTGAGTGTTAAGATCCAGTAAATATCGTATGGGTTTCGTTTGGATTCTTTTGTTCCCTTCACTTTTCCTTTCCCCTGTTTTCCTTTATTCCTTTCCCCTGTTTTCCTTTATATGAACAAGAAAAAGAAAGGTTATATTTGAGTAAAAGAGCATAACATTAACAGCATAGAAATGATATCAATAAAGTGCTTGAATGTGCTCTAAGGAAGAAGGTTTGAAGACAATAAAACCATAGAGAGCAGCTTCTAAACTCAGCAGATTTTTGCAGCTGACTATGTAAAGAGCATCACATCATCCCAAACAACATTAACAGTACCAACTGACTATGTAAAGAGCATAACATCATCCCAAATAACATCATCCCAAACTACGAGCAAATAAAGAGTATAACGAGAGATCATGACACTAGTGTCGACATTTCAGTCATGGTAGTATACCAATCATTGCTCTTAGTGATCTCTGATGGACTCAATAAGAGTATCAGAGATGATGTCACAATCCAATTAGAAATATATGATCAGAAAAGACGTGTATGCTTAAATGTTGTGTAGGTTTATAATTGCGCCACTTAGCTGCATCTACCACCTCCACCCATGGGTATAAGGAATAGAGACCAAAGCATAATATAAAAGACAGCGCACTAGCGCCCCATAGGATCAACTTACAGGGTGTAGACAACGTTCAAAGTTTCATAGCATAATCTAATAGAGAGCACATAGAGTTGGGATAGACATATAAGGTAGATGTTAGAAACAGGGGTTCTAGAGCTCTCGGATTCGTGTGGAAAATGAGGAAAACTAGCTAGATCAATTAGAGAAATCTAACTAGGGATTAGAGAAGAGATGGGAAATAGGATTGAGCACTATTAGTAGGGGTGGTAATAGGTCGGTTGCCTGTTTAACCGGTTATCGACCGACCGATTATCGGTAAACCGTTTGTGCCCATTCAGTTTTTGAATACCGATAACGGTTTTTAACCGGTTAACCGATAAATCGGATAATCGATTAACGGTTACAAATTGGTTTTACCAATGCACCGCGAAAGCGAAGGAGAAGAAGCTTTCTAGTTCGGTTAACCTGGATATAACCGGACCGATTCTGGGAAGTGGGCAAGTTTGCATTTTATGAGTTTCTTTTTTCATTTTTATATAATTTCTAATTTAATTATTAATTCTTATTTACAATATTTTAAATTTTTATACTTCCATTCATGTACTATGAATAATGGAATATGTTAATGGCAATTGTCAAACATTAAACCAGTTTGTTAATTAATTTAACACAAGTTCGAAGGGACAACAATCATTAATCAACATCAAACATCATCAAATCAAATTCATCAAACATCATCAAATTCAAAAGGACAACAATCAACATAATCTTCAATCGACTAAAGTGCACAATGACAATGTCTAAATTCAATATAAGTTCAAACATAAAAATTTAAATAGATCTTAGAAGTCCCCAAATTTAACACAAACATCAACTCATCAAACTACCACTAGCTCATGCTCCTCCATCTCCGATAGAACTTGTACTACAAACATTAGCACAACCTTGCTGCTTTAACGTCCTGAGAAGAGTATCATATGGATCGTCATTGTCATCTAGGTTTATGTCTTCGTCGTTGGAATCTTCATCATCACCATCATCATCCTCCTCATCAACCACAACAGGTAAGCTATGTGCTCCACTTGCACTTGGCATATCACTTGCAGTTCTCACTCGCAAAGCAGTTAAAATCAGGATTTTACCTAAAATCGAAAATTGGGGTAAAATTGGAATCGTAAAATCGAATCGTAGAATCGTAGGATTTTAAGTACCATATAGAAATTAACATATGATAATATTAATAAGGTAAATAATTAATAACAGAATGACTTATAACATTTAAAGTGATAATTTTCAAGATTAAGGTTTCAAAACCATCATTTTAATTGTTATTTAATGTGTAACTCAAAATAATTTATGAGGAAGGGATAGAGCTCATGGAGTTTGGCTCTTGTTTTTCATGTTGTGTCTAGGTAGTTTAACTCAAAGTAGTATTCCGACATCGTCTACTAAGCATGATTTAAAACTAAGAATAACTGAAATCCAATAAAATAATTAATGTCATTGGTTTGGTACAAATATATTCATTAATAAAATAATTTGTTAATAATGATGTTAATTCTTACGCACTAACAATATTCTGACAATTGTTTTACCGATGAGTTAAACAAGAAGACGGGAAAGGGGTTGACCGAACCCTAATTAGTTTTTTTTCTTCTTTTCAAATGTTCTTTTAATAGGAAAAATATATTAGAAGATCCCCGTCATTGCCCTTTCACCGAAACAATTCTGGTTCTTTTGAATTGGTTCAAGTTCCCTATTTTGTTCACATAGGATCAAAATCCTGATTTTGGTACGATTTTACAATTTTAACGATTTTAATCCCATTTTGAACGATTTTAAGATCCATCGATTTTATAATAAAATCAGGATCGGAATCCCTAAGTTAAATCTTACGATTTTACGATAAAAATCCCGATTTTGACTGCATTGCCCACTCGAGCTTGGAAAGTAGTACTGACTAGTAATAAGAAAAAACACAAATGTTAATAAAGGAATAGTTTAATAGTAAATAATATAGAAAAATTAGAATAATGAATTGAATTCTTACCACTTTCATAATCGCCTATCTCTTGATCTTCTTCCTTATAATCCAGTCCATCTGCAGTCTTTCCACTTTCATACCGTATCCAATTTTCAGCATAAATCAAGGCCTCTACAATGTTTGGGCTAAAAGAAGATCGAAAAGGACTAAAAACTCAACCTCCACAACTGAAAGCGGACTCCGAGGCAAGAGAAGAGACTGAAACTGCTAAGATATCCCTAACCATCTCTGAAAGAATGAGATATCTAATACTGTTCCGAGACCACCACTTTAGAATGTCAAACTTCCTATCATCAAGTTCCTCGATAATAACATCACCAACACCTCTCAAATAGGAGTCCAACTCAACACCAGAACCTTGACCCCCCCCCCCCCTCTCAAGTTGCTCCTTTCTCTTCTGCTGGAACCGAGCCTCAAATTCCCCTCCCATAATAGAAGATTCGTCACTAGCACTATTCCCCGCAGTCTGAGTAAGAGGAGTAGTCTGAGTAGTATGCTCAAACTCATAGAGTGGAGGTGTATATCTCAACTTGTAGACCTCAAACATTGCAACCATCTCTTTCTTTACTTCATCTACCAAAGCTTTCCCTTTTGACCTCCCATGCTTCTCTTCCAACATCATAGTCAAATACTCTAGTTTACGCATGAGATCTAGCACACATGTCATGTAAACTAGCCTATTTATCCTAAGGTTATCCTCCTCGTCATCATGCATCATTCTCAAACCAACACTTCCTCACCTTTGCCTCTATTCTTTCTACCATTCTTTGAATCTGTCCATCTACATCCTTCTTCAAACTTGATATCACTTCATAAATATCAATAATGGCTCTGCAGAAAGTATATGCAGTGACATATGATGTTCCTGATACAAAGTAAAAATGACCAAACATCAATATCAATATTATAACTCATAATCAATTAATAATTCACTTTAAGATATGAATTTGAAAATTTAGACGTTCACATACCTGATACACGAAGGATAAGCTCATAAAAGACTTCAAGTACTTCATGAGCCGCCTAATGCTACGCCAATCTTCTTCACTTGGAAGACCCTTCTTGGAGTCCACATAGTCTCGTAAGGAAGCATCAGTTGGACTAGCATGTATGAACTTAAAGACAGGCTCAAACCTTTCTGCAGAATCGAACATCAAATAGGTGGAATTCAACCTAGTCAGAACATCCAAAGACACAAGTCTTTTCTCATCCATCTCTAGATACCTGATGCTAGACTTGAACTTTGCACTCCGAGCTGGTGATGACTTCATCCATTTCACATAATCCCTTACCCTCTCCATAGCAACTCCAACCTCCTTCAACCTATAAAAAACAACCAGATTGATTATATGTGCCACACATCTATACTGCAGATACTTCCCATTTAGAAAATCCGATCCCCATCCTTTCAGTTTTGTTCTCATGCACTCAACTAGAACATCATTAGAAGTGGCATTATCCATTTTCATACAAAATAAATTCTTCACTTACCATTCTTGTAGACATGCTGCCAAACTTTCTATAATGTCCTTTCCTGCGTGACTAGTAATGTGAACAAAGAAAACAACTTCCAATTATCTCCAATAAAATGTGTAGTCACACACATATAATTCTGATTGTTATCAGAAGTCCATGTATCTGTAGTGATCGAAAACCTTCCTTTGCACTTTGAGTTGAAAAACTCAATCAACATCTGCTTCTTCTTCTTCTTCTTCTTCTTCAGAAAAATGACATAACAATCTGATCTTATTGTTTGTCTTCCAGGTATGACAAACAAAGCCTGAGCTGTGGCCAGAAATCTCTTAAACCCTTCACGCTCAACAAATCTGAACGGTAGCTCATCCAATATGATCATCATAGCTAATGCATTTCTAGCTTTGTTCTGATCAAACTTCCATGGAGTAAGAGAGCATACCTCACCAACCCCACTTCCAGGTTGATAGTTCAATACTGATTGACAACTAGCTTCCCTCGACCTCCTCTCGCATGCTAGGTGATGGTTTTTCAAACCAGTAGTCCAATTGAGACTTCAATGAGCTTTGATATGTGTCCCACATCGTTTGCATTTGTCGTATGGGTAGCCATCCACTAGCACACTATTATAGGGAATCCACCATTTAGATGTCCTCTTCCTCCCCTTCTCCTTTACAATTTCTTTTGCACACCAGGTACCTCACCACCAGCATCAATAGTAGGGGCCGAATTATCTGCAGATGGAGGTGGATTTGCCGTAGTGGAAGGTGTACTAGTTGAAGTCTTCCCTTTTTTTTAAGAGCTTCGAGGAGGTAGCGAACCAACTTTCTTCTTATTACCTCCTCCACGAATGCCAGAAGGGTTTGTCCTACAAAAGTTCAACAAAATGAACACATAAATCTCCTAAACAACCAATTCAGTCAATTCTCATCAATTGAAACTCATACACACATACTGTCATTATCAATTCTCGTCAATTCAATCAATATTTCTCATATCATATACATACATTTTTTTACTAGAAAACATAGTCGCTAATTAGCATGCTTTGCTGCTGCTGGTTTCTCCTGTTTGGCTGCCTGCTTTGGAGTTCGGCCTTTGCTGCTGCTTGAGCTAAAGGAAAACTGGTCAGACAGAGAAGCAATTGGAGATTCTGTCTTCTGAGGAGGAGGAGAGGAATATGGCAACTCGGCAAGGGAATCGATCTTTTGTTCCTTACCTATGGAGCTCGATCGGTCTTGCTGGAGCTCCACGGCAGCGGCCGGTGCAGGAGATGACTGAGGGAAGAGAGGGCTCTGCGTCGCCGATGATTGGGAAGAGGAGGAAAGGACAGGGGAGGTCGGAAGCGGAGTCGCAGAGCTACGGACAGTGGAGGCGGAGAAGCAGAGGTAGAGACGCGGAGATGGGAGGCACATGACGGGATCAAGTCGGCGAGGAAAGGGGCATGGCGAATCAGAGTCGAAGTCATCATCGTCTTTGTTTTATCGATTGGCGGCTGGAATTCAATTTTGGACTGGAGGAGACTCATGTGGCAGAATTTAGGGTTGGGACATTGCAGAAAGAACGTCGGCATTTTACCCTCCCAAACAGTATCGGTTTGACCAGATATCCATCGGTTTTAACCGATATTGGAGTCGGTATACCGAAACCCTCCCAAATGCTTCCGACAACCGACACCACCGATTATCAGTTTTACGGGTAACCGCCGTACTAGTTAAACCGACAACTGGATAACCGTTTGTCACCCCTAAATATTATGAAGGAAAAAGAACCAAAACTACGACAGCAACCATAGAAGAGAAAAAGAGAGGAAGATTAGATTTTGGTAATTTCTTTTATGTAATTACTTAATTAGTAATCCCACTAATTACAATATATATCTCGAATAATCCCTTTTCCGTACCCAACTAATACGACTTAACGAAACACTCCCTAATTATTTCAAAACCCTCCAAATAATCTCTAAACGTTCTAAAATATTAATAAATGCAAATAAGTCCAAAGGATAGAAATAGCAAATATATGTGTTTCTAAGATCTCCGCCTCCTTAAGATCAACCTTGCCCTCAAAGTTGATCCCTCTCATTCAAAGTCTGCCTCATGCCAAACTGTCGGATCACGTGGTCTGGATGGTGCCATCACCGCTGAAAAGCATATCAGTGGCACTACTGCTCCAAACGTCTCAGACTGTATCACACTACCTCTGAGATGATGTGCTCTCTCAACGTAAGGTTGCCACTACACAAAAAATGAAATGTTACATACTAACCACCATGGTTTCCATCTCGTCAAACCACAGCTTGTACTGGAATAGCTGGTCACCATACTGATGAGTGTTGGCCGGAAGCCATCGAAGACCACGTGGGGATGCATCCTCGACAATCTGCGCTCATGTCTCTCAATGTCGCGGTGTCAGATGTGGGAATCGCTCCCACGCCCAGAGCTGCAGTAGGGCGAGCCATCCACCAAGGCCACCTCCTAGAGAAGTGGAGGAATGCGTAATGTGCAAAACCGACCTATCCATCTCACGATACAAGTAGGATAAAATAGCTGCTCCCCAGGCGAACCGTCTAGCTCTCTGCCAATCCTCAATCAGAAGTAGGTACTGTAGGTGCACCGTAGCTCCCGACCGATCGGGGAACAGTAATACCTCCCATAAGATATAGAGCATAAGCTCGTGCAAACTGCTCTATAACATCCTGGGATGCATTTCCCGGCTGGTTACTAAATTCATCCCTCAGCCAAACAATCCTAACAACACCGCTAGAAAGATCATCTGGAACCCGTCCTAACAGTATCAAACAGATCGTCAGCCACTCCTCATCCGGTATGTCAACTACGACGGCATCACCGTCGATGGCCAGACAAGACAGTGTCACAACTTCCTCTAACGTGATCGTGACCTCACCAAACGGTAAATGGAAGGTCGACGTTTCGGGTCGCCAACGCTCTACGAGCGCAGTAATCAAACTCGCATCAGAAATCGTAGGGACCAGGGGCAAAACACTAGATAAGCCCACCGCTGCGAGATATGACTGATAACGCTCATGGTACCTGACTAAATTGGTCGTACCTCGAACATGGTAAGATCGATCACCATCCTATAATGCACAAAACTTATATTAATTCAATTTCATTCGTAATAATTCTTATCTAATCTAAAATTATACTAATTTCAAGAAAATTTGATAAGTAATTCTATTCTAATTTCAGTACAGTTCAGTTCACCTACTAAAATAATCTAATCTAACTAGCTAATTTAACTTTACATGAATAATTATCAAATACTTACCTCGTTTTCCCAAACTAATTCAATACGATGTTGATCATGTCTCCAAAGAAGTATAAGATCGACCAGAGCTGGATCAATTGTCGCAGGCGGTAGTCTCATCGAATAACTGTCCATAAGCCTAGGAACTGCAAAAGCAACAAAAACATTAATTAAAAAAAACTGCCGGTGGAAATATTTCGGCCGCCTCCACGACCTCGCCGGCCTCTCCCCTTGCCTCTGCCGGCGACTCCCTCTTCTTCGTCGAACGATGACATATCCGTCAAACTCAGGCGCTGGCGCCTTTGTCTGCAGCTGGGGCGACGACGCGTGGAGGTCTGGTTTTTCGAGCGAGAGGCGGTTGGGGAGTGTGGTGTGGGGGGGGGGGGGGAGGAAGAAGAAAAGGTAAGATAAGAAAAGAGAGGTGGGCCGCTAGGTTTTAAAAAAAAATGGAAGGCGGGGCGCTGGAGACTCAAGCGCCAGTGCCTGGGACTGGCTTTTTAATTTCAAAACGCGGCCCCGCTTGAGTCTCTGGCGGCCGCTGTACATGGGCGCTGGGCCGTGCTTGGGCCGGCATGGAACGGGCACGCTTCAGGCCCATTTATTTCGTGCCGTGAAAGCCCATTTGTTAATTTTGCTAGGGTCGGCCCAGGCCCAAGCACGGTTGGAATCGTGTCGTGCCTATTCATGCTCATGTCGTGCTCGTATTCGTGTCTAATGAAAAGGAAGAAAATAAACGAGAGAATGAAAAAGAAGGTGAAAATTGGATGAAGAAAGATAGAATTAACCGAGAATGTTTGAGAAAATTAACAAATAAGGGGGAAAAGAAAATTGGAAGTATAGCGGGTGTGATTTTGCTTTGTTTAATTCTTCGGCCATTTTTACTTATGGTAGTAATTACGTATATATCTCTATGACACTTCTAACAACAACAAATAATTATTTTTTTACTTGTATTTTGTAACAATTGAACCTATAATTCTTTCTATATCTATTTTCTACCAAATAAATGTTATTTTTGTGCCATGTCCGTTCTTATACTCAATAAAATTAGAAAAATATTAGGCCCAACACGGCCTACTTACATACCGTGTCGTGCCCGTGCCCGTGCCCATAAAGTTTAGGCAAGGCACAACCCATAAATTATTCGTGCTCGTGCCGGGCTGGCCTATTTATTTCGTGCCCGTGCTCGTGTCGTGCTATATCCGTGCCGTGGTGCCCACATACAGCGGCCACGCCTATAACCCTACACAAATACACAATATTTGTATAAATACTTTTTAATCCGCCATATTTATGTAATAACCCTTATATGGATTGATTATAAATAAAATAAAAAAAATATGTTGCCATACATACTGATTACTGAGGACAAAAGAAAGAAAAAGCAAAAGGCCACCGTGGCAGTAAGCAACAAGAAGGATTATGAGAATGGAGCTCAAAAACAGGTGATTGGTCCGAAATCTATCCACCGCATCTCCAAACCAGATTTCGTCATCCCACTTGGCTCCCTTCCTATCCACCTTTAAGATTCTCCTTCTTTTCTCCCTCCATCTGTCATTATATCCCACCCATAAGCCGGTCCATCTCAAGTCTCAACAGAAACTAAGGAAAAAGGAAAGAAAGAAAGAAAGGGAAAACAGAGTAACCCAGAAGTCGAGCGAGCGAGCGAGCATCAGGGCCGTGTCTCGTCTGCAACTTCCTTCCTCCCAATTTCACACAACCATCCAATCTTATCCCTATGGCTGCAGCAGCTACTTCGGGGGGAACGGTGCTGAACGGGACCCTGGGATCTTCCTTCCTGTCCGGAAGCAAGAAGACCCAATCCTTGTTTGCTGTCGCTTCCAGAATCGGAAACAGTATTGGCGGAAGGAAGTTGGTCATTGTATCCGCCGCTAAGAAATCTTGGATCCCTGCCGTCAAAGGCGGCGGCAACCTAGTCGACCCCGAATGGCTCGATGGCTCGTAAGTTCCTGCAATCTCTCTGCTCTGCTCTGCTTCAATTCGAATACCAATTCAACCAATTAATTGAATTTTTATGTAATTGCAGGCTCCCGGGCGACTACGGATTCGACCCGCTGGGGCTGGGGAAGGACCCGGCTTTCCTGAAGTGGTACAGAGAGGCGGAGCTGATCCACGGGCGGTGGGCGATGGCGGCGGTGGTGGGGATCTTCGTGGGTCAGGCGTGGAGCGGGATCCCGTGGTTCGAGGCCGGGGCGGCGCCCGGCGCGGTGGCGCCCTTCTCGTTCGGGACGCTGCTGGGGACCCAATTGCTGCTGATGGGGTGGGTGGAGAGCAAGCGGTGGGTGGATTTCTTCAACCCGGACTCGCAGGCGGTGGAGTGGGCGACGCCGTGGTCGAGGACGGCGGAGAACTTCGCCAACGCCACCGGGGAGCAGGGCTACCCGGGCGGCAAGTTCTTCGACCCGCTGGGCTTCGCGGGGACGCTCAGCGACGGCGTCTACGTGGCGGACGCGGAGAAGCTGGAGAGACTGAAGGTGGCGGAGATTAAGCACGCCAGGCTTGCGATGATCGCCATGCTCATTTTTTACTTCGAGGCCGGCCAGGGGAAAACCCCTCTCGCCGCTCTGGGCCTTTAGATAGAGTTTGTTGCCCCCCATTCTTCCTTCCTCTGTTCGTCCTTTTGGCTGTAGATAAATCTGATGGTTAATCAAAATTTTAGCGGGCGGTTCAAATTAATTCGTCACTCACTGTGGCACCAGTGTTATCAAAACCGGGCCGGACCGGCCGGTCAGACCGCGGCTAACCGGCTCCGGACACTCACCCGGTTCCGACTCCTTCTAAGCAATAAGGAAACTGGCCGGCCGGGTTTTAACCGGTTCATCCGGCTAACCGTCAGAACCGCCTAAACCGAAGCGACGGTTTTGGGATTAATACTTACTTTTTATAATTAAAAAATATTAGTTACCTTTTTTTGTCTTGAATCGACATAAAATTGGAAAGATAAAAATAATGCTTCTTTTCCTTTTTTTCAACTTTCCTTTTTCTTTTTTTAGCACTCAATCACGTTACCTATCTTCTGCTTCTTCTTAATTCCTTTCCCCAAATAAGAACAATATTGATAGAATGCATCATTTTGTTACTTTAATTACTTTTTATTCAAATTATTATTTTATTTACTTTCCTCTTCTTGTCAATTTCCCCATTTGATTTCTCAATTGGCCAACTCCAACGGTCAAACTCTAAAAAGCAAAAAATCATCATTTATTACTATTTTGATTAACATTTTAATATTTCATTCTTCAATTGAATATGTAAATAAAATATAAAATTCTGAATTTAAAAATTAGTATTAATTTTTAGAGTTCACATGAAGTCATGATTATTTTATTTGAATATTTTATATGCCACCGGTTTTATCACCGGTTTCATACCGGTTAATCACCGGTTATCCGATAAACCTTAAACCTCTTGTTAATCCGGATCACTGTCCGGTCCGGTTTCGACAACAATGTGTGGCACTAATGACGAATACTAATAGAATACTGCCTGTGCCCTTCTGAACGCCAAGAGGAACAGGAACGGATCTTAATCTAAATTGTTGCAGGCATTCGTACTTACTTTACAGGATGTTACGATTGAATTACAAGCTACCAAAGAAACCAAAACCCTCCAACAAAGAATGCACAGATCATGTCCGGATTACAGGACTCGGTTTTTAATCGAGGGTTTTAAGTGGATCTAGAAAATCCAAATTAAAAAACGGTGAATTAAATATATTTTGTGAATTAAATATATTTTATTTTCACTAGTTTTCTTAATCCGTTGTTATCTTGTTCGTTCTAAAGCAGATTTCAATCTTCATTTTCACATAGGGAAGGAGTTCGTTATGCTCTACAAAATAAGATTAATTTTTAATATTTTTTTAGAAATGTTTTTTCATACCTCTCGTTATTAACTCCGTAACCATATGGTATCTCCTTCGTATTAAAGTTATTTAAAAAAATATTTGCACAGAAAGAATGAGTTCATCATGATCTATTGGCTCTACAAATTTCTGGGTGAAAAAAGTACAAGACCAAAAAAATACTATACTATACCACCTTGGTATGGGGTTGTAACTTGTGGACGTACACAATGATGAAAGTCGTAAATGACAGTTAGTGTACTCTTACTATCATGTATTCAACCATCTTATCAGTCTTGATATGTTCATACCACCATGGTATGTTGTCGTAGCATATCGTATGCTCTTATTTAATATCTGCCAATACCATATGGTATAAACTCATAAAAAAAGGCCTCAATTTTTTTTTGTTCTAAAATTATATAAAAATATATAAAATATTACAGAGCACAATTAATCTGATTTATCTGTGCAAAATAAATTTAATTCTGACTTAAAACGAGGGAAAAACCGTATGTTAAAGATTAAAGGGGAAAAGATTAAAAGTTTTCCATAAGAGAGCCTTTTTCTTACCATTTTCTGGTTGTTTTAAGTGGAGTGGAATCAATCAACTGGCATACCGTCAAATGACGCCTGCAATCCTTCCCTCACCAGTCCCACGTGCTCTTTGATGCCGAAAATCGAATTGCCGATATCATTGAGAAATAGGAAGAAGTGTTATCGAACGATTTCCTGCAATTCTTCCCAGTATGGAATGAGTAAAGAATCAAGCTACAATTGACTCTTAGAACCTTTGTTGGTTTTGGGCAACGGGGATCAACTTCCAGGACAGGATAGGGTGAGAGAGGATGTTGATGTCACGCTGATGTGACAGGTTACTCTCCATTACCGACCCTAAGGTTACTGACCTGATTTGGACCCAGATTACAGCTACACATCTGAATTCTGATACACGGGAACACAAAAAAAATACCAGAGCAGTTCAAGTATCCTTACCATGCACGAAGAAATAATTTAGCAATAGTGGTGTGAGCTCTACAAAAAAAAAAAAAAAAGAGGAATCCCAGAACCACCTCTTCATCAGCTGTGAGTACGCTAGGAGCTTCTAGGATTTTTTCAGAAGAAGATGCAACCAGATTCATCAGTTGGGTAGTGATATTATCGACACCGTCCGTAATTGGCCCTCTGCTTCTCCTGATTGTTTGGAAGATTGGTTTAGATACTGTCTCATCCACGCCCTGTGCTGGCATCTATGGATTGAGCGTAATAGACGCATTTTCAATGAGGTCTGTACACCCTTTGGTGTTACAGCGAGGCGAATTGCTCAAGACATCAATAACTGGATCACCGCAAATGGCAAAGCCAGCAAAACCCAGAGCGCCGAGTGGATGAAACTTCACTTTGATTGATGTCTCTGTTTCGCGCAAGGCTTTTGCTTGATGTTCCCTTCGGTGGCAGGATCTGTTGGCTTCTTCCTGTCGCTGTGTTGTTTGTGTTTTGATTCTTGTGATTCCTGGCTGGTGTTCCGCTAAGGTGATCTCTTTTTCTTTTCTTTTTTCCTTTCACCTGTCTACTGTAAGTTCTGTTTCTGTATATTAAGTTCAGCCCTGCTGAACTTCGAACATCCTTTGTTTGTTCTCGTTATAATACATATTCACCCTTGTCAACAAAAATAATTTAGCAATAGTGACGTAGCAAGGATTTCACGTAGGGTGGGTCCGGCATAATAAAAAACAAAATTATATATATATCTAATTAATATTTATTGAAAAGATTCTAAAATACATTTATCATCCAAACTATCTAGAATGTCACTCTCATCATTCAACACTTCATCAATCATTCGACTCCGCAATGTGTTCTTCACATAGTTCATTGCAGAAAATACTCTTTCAATAGTTGCAGTGCTGACTGGTAGCATCGCCAATTTCACAAGCTGATACACCAATGGAAACGACCAGAACTTCTTCGACACAACCATTTTCCTAGAAAGCTCAGTCATTCCTTTTAATTTAGTGAATCTCTTATTTGTCTTCACATCAAAGATATAACTATTTAGTTTAGTATCTAAATGCAAAATATCATCATTAGAGAATTCATTAGGATAAAAGGCAGCAAGCTTTAATAGTTTTTCCTCGTCGAAGTCAACAAACCCATCATTCGAATTTAAGCAAACCACACAACATAGCAATTCAATGTTCACCTCATCAAAATGGTTGTTAAACTCTTGTAAGGGCATATCCACAACTGTGTAAAATAACTCAACCTTGTAATGATGCATATTTTTGATCTCTTAAGCATTTCTCCTTAATCTTCCCGAAACATATAAATCATCCTCGACAGGGCATTCCATTGAGCAAATATGTACTCCTCTCTATGATCATTGATCTGTTGGGTTGTAGTCATAATGTTGCCCCCTCTTAGAAGTCCTCTTGGAGAAGTAACGAATGTGTACCTCAAAAGGTTGTCAACCACCAACCATGTTGAATAAAGCTACCAGTTGTTCGGAAAAGCATTATAGAAGATCATGTAATTGGTGGTCACCTTCCCAATACCTCCTTTCTGCCTCATGTGAAAGTTGGTTCGGCCAGTGCATGAACCATAGGAATGGCAGCCAAATGCAGGTTGGTGGTGAATAGCCAACAGCAAACTCAGCCTCCTGGCTCCTTGTTATGGTCTTTCATAGCTCCCGGATAATCATTGTCTACATTATGGGCTGCCAATAAGCTCCAAGGATAGAGTCAGAGAGTGCTCCTCTCACATGATAGGATGGAATCTCTAGCTTCACAACGAAGCTATCATAACTATTGTTGAAGTGTCATCCCGCCAGCCTATATGAGATGCATCTCTGGCTCGAGTCCCTTGTTGGGGGTCAATTGGTATATATCCTGGAACTCTCTCATGAGCACGTCATTTCTCTATCCTCTGATGCTTTTTTTTTTTACAAAAGATAATCATATATTGATTGAACAAAATAGACAGTTACATCCTGGAACTCATCCTTGCCTGATAATCAAACTAACAACTTGTAGTCGGGTACAAAGACATGGCTTTTCGAGTCACCAAATAAGCTACCCTATTGTTACGTCAAAAAGCTGAACCACCTCCTCAAGAATCGACCCCACTCGATTATCCCTAACATCCCGCCGAAGAATCTATCCTCTGATGCTGAATAGTGACAAGAGACCAATATTATCAAGTCTATTTCTCATTGCTACTCCCCATCCTTGGTACAGGTCGAAGTCTGGTCAGTTAATCTCTCCTTGGGGGTCAACTAGTATGTATCTCTTCTTGGCACTGGAACTTCCATGGGGAAACTGGAGGAAAGTATGCAAGGGCGCCTTTGGTGTATTCTCTCTTATCTCCAACTCGTTGTTAGTCTCAAACACCTCGACTCTTGGTGGTAGCCGTCCACTCATGATTTTTGACCTCCTACTTGTCAACTTCAAAATTCAAATACATTTCAACAATTAGTGATTTGAAATACCTCCTAACAAAAGATTGGACCAATCTGTAAAATGCTAAAAGTTTAGGTACTATAGTGTGAGGCAAAACATATAAAGGTACCAAAATGTAATTTTACCATCAAATTTTTTGTAATTTACCAAAATTTTAAAAGTTTAGGTACTAAATTGTAAGAAAAAAAATAATTTTAGGTAACAAACTGTAATTTACCAAAAATTGTCGTAAGTGACCAGAAAATTCAAAATGAGAATAAAAAATTACAAATGAGCATCCAAACAAGGAATTTGAATTACATTTATTTCAAATGAATGTATTTCAAATGAATGTATTTTAAATACTAGTATTTCAAATACATTACATTTAAAATACATCTATCAAAACGCACCGTAAGGCAATAAGCCATCGACCTGGATAAGCAAAATTAGCGGCACAATCCAATACTCATTTCGAACAGGACAAAGAAAAAGCTTAATGCACAAATCCGTCATCATCTTCACCACCCGCCTCGTGGACAACTGACGCCTCCACTGGCGGGAGTGGGAGCGGCTTTCTCGTGTGGCAGATTAGTGCTAGGGGTGGGCGTTGATGCGGTTTGACCTGCACCACACAGTATTAATATAAACTGCACCGCATGCTAATTAGATCGCACCGCATGTTGGACCACAATGTAAATGAAGATGTCAAACCGAACCGCTTAAATTAGCAATTTGGTGCGGTTTATACCGCATCGCATATTTGACCGCAATTAATTAGAGGTGATAGATAACTAAAAGCTAAATCAACCTTCACTTACCAACTAGGAACCTTTCAATTTACTGGCCAGACCATAAGAGAACGAACAATTAGGCTAAAAAATGAATAATTAATTGGTTGTGGAACTTATGAAGCATCAAAAGCTAGAATGAGACAAATTGCAAATGGAGCATGGTAAAGTAACAAGGGAGGCAGAGGAGTTGAAGAAAAGCAGAAAATAGCAGTCTTCAACTTCAACAGAATCCATGACCCAATTATCACCGGTGTTCACCGAATTGGAGATCGAAGAAGCCACCGACAACTTTGCTGAATCGGCAAGATAGGAGGGGATCAGGGGGAGATGGGAGTCGCTGTCTTCTTTCTGTGATAAATGGAGAGCTTTGAGAGAATAGAAGCGGCGGCAACAGCAGCGGAAGGAGAAGAAACAGAGTACTGATATGAAAATAGAGTGTGTTGGAATGGAAATCATCAATTTAAAGAGAAAATAAGGGACCATAATTTTCAATTGAGAAGAAGAAGAATAAGAAGTGACTTGAAGCTCTCGTGAGTAAAGCTTGTTTCTGTTTTTAATGGCGAATTCTCCTCTTTTTTTTTTTATTTTTTTTATTTTTACCACAGTTGGTTTTCTATATATCTTTTTACCACATGTAAGTAGCTCTCTCCTAAGCTGAGCAATATAATCATTTACTAGGCTGCAAATTATTTACGGTTTGAAGTTTTGAACCGCAACCGTGTGGTTTTTGGATTAATCTGACCGCAAATCGTGAGCCGCATGTTAGACCGCAACTCTTGCGGTACGATTTGGCTTGATCTTAAAAGCGATTCGGTGCGGTTTGGAGCAGTTTGACTGCACCAATGCCCACCTCTAAGTAGTGCTGATCAGAAGAAGAAGTAGACAGGGATCTTCCGGGAAAGAAATCGAGGCTTGGATCGACGATTGTGTAAGGAGTAAAGATTGTTGGGAGGACTGCTCTGTTTTGGTGGCAGGGAAACAGAGTCAATATTATTTAATTACGTACAAACCAAAATGAATTGCGGTCAAAATGTCGTGCGGTCTAAATCGTACCAAACCGTTAACTTATGCGATTTGGTTGACCCGCAACAATAATTTTGCGATCGAACATGCAGTGCGGTCCGATTATGATGTGGTGCAGTGCGATGCGGTCCTAACCGCACAGATGTCCACCCCTACCTCATTTTAACCTCCACTCCATTCCATTCCACCACATTAACATGTTATTATAAATGTTCACATGACTATGTGATTTATTGGTTATATTGCACATACGAAGATGTAGTCTTGACAATTGCGATGATGTCCTTTATCGTAATTTTTTTTGAAATGATTGCTTAATATAGTAGAATATTGGATCAATAAATTAAACTAACTCAATAATTTTCGCAGGAAAAAACTATTGAAATTTGTTTAGAACGGAAAAGAAAAGAAGAACACCAAGTCCTTGCTGAAAATTTCCTGCTTGACAATATTTGAGGAGAAAAACACTAAGCCAGAAACAACTTTTTTTTTTGTTTCTTTTTTTTGTAATTTTCCCCCTGCAAAATCAACGCGGTTGAAATAAGTAACTGACCAATGAAGGTAAAAAAAATACAGAAAAAGAAATGTAGTTAACCTTTACTTTACTTCCCAAAAGTATCCATCCATAGATTTTCTTTCTCGATAAATCCGGGATATCTGTTCAAAAAATAAAAATGAAAATGAAATTAATCAATTATCCAGTGATTGGACATCCGGGATATCTTTTTCTCCCCTTTTATTCCCCTTTCGGACTTCTCCTTTAATTTCACTGGACCAAACTATTTCTCTCCACTCCACAGGAACCAAAAAAAAAAAAAAAAAAAATCATCAGAGCCCTCCGTCCGTTTCCCTGCACAGAGTCTCGGCACTAGTGGAAGACGGCTGTCTCCATCGTCTCTGCTACGCTCTCCGCCATTGTTTGCACCTCATCAGGTAAATTAACCATCTGGAGCGTTTGCTCTTCTATCCCGTCTTCTACGCCTTCAATTTCCCCCCCCTTTTTCCATGGTGCGGTACATGAATCTCTAGAAGAAAGACTCTGAATCGCAATTCTCAAGTTTCACAGAATCTGAAATCGCTCCCCTTAATCTCATAGAAAAGTGATGGAGTTGGAATCGAACACGACGGGCCGTGGCGGAGGAGGAGGACGAGGGATGAGCAAATCGACGAAGAAGGTCCTCCTGATAGTGAACTGCATTCTCCTCTCCCTCGGGAGCGCGTGCGGCCCGCTCGTCCTCCGCCTCTACTTCCTCAAAGGCGGCAAAGGGGTATGGATCTCCGCGGGCCTAGAAACCGCGGGCTGGCCGTTCGTCCTCGTGGCCCTCCTGGCCTCCTACCTCTACCGCCGCCGCACAGACGGGCCTGGACCCGAGCCCACCAAGGTCTCGTTCATAACCTGGCGCCTCTTCCTCGCGTCCGCCGTGCTGGGCCTCCTGACGGGCCTCGATGACTACCTCTACGCCTCGGGCGTGTCGTACCTGCCCGTGTCCACGTCGTCGCTAATCATCGCCTCCCAGCTGGCGTTCACGGCCGTGTTCGCGTTCCTGCTGGTGAAGCAAAAGTTCACGGCCTTCTCCGTCAACGCCGTGTTCCTGCTCTGCCTCGGGGCAGGGGTGTTGGCGATGCACGCCAGCGGGGACAAGCTGGCCAATGAGACCAAGGGTCAGTACTTTATGGGGTTTTTCATGACCGTGGGCGCCGCCGTGCTCTACGGGTTCGTCCTCCCCGCCATCGAGCTCACCTACAGCAAGGCACGGCAGAACGTTACTTATACTCTTGTGATGGAGATGCAGATGGTCATGTCCCTTTTCGCCACGCTCTTCAACGTCGTCGGCATGATCTTCCACCACGAGATCCAGGTCTCTCTTTATATCCATCTCTATCTCTCTCCAATTGATCCTCTCCTTTTTTTTCCCCCATTTTTTTATTCCGTTTTTTTCTTTCTTGCTACCTATGCATCTAGATGAATACCCTATTGGTATATATTATATTATATTATATCATATACTATGCTGGCAAAGGCTAGCGTACGTCAGGCGTATAATCATATACTATGCATCTAGATGAATACCCTATTGGTATATATTATATTATATTATATCATATACTATGCTGGCAAAGGCTAGCGTACGTCAGGCGTATAATATACAACAGGTGATCTAGCCATTAGATGTACTTAGATGAGCTCCGGCCGATCTCAACGATTAATTTTTGTTTTTCATTAAATCAAATTTCGGGTTGGAGTTTAGAAAATCGGTGTCTGGGGTTTATCCATTAGAGGTTAGGGTATAGTATCGTACCCCAAACTTGATTTAATTCATGGTCTAAATAAAGATATTTCATTAGTAATACCTGACGTATAGTATACGCCTGACGTACGCCAGTCTGACCCATATACTATATATATATAGTTATATATTTCCATATTCAATGCAATCACGTTTTTATACACTTTCTCTATGGTAGTGATTTCGAGTATACTAAGTATCTTAAATGTTGGTTAAGGTTAGGTGCATATATAATGTATGTTTATGGTGAATGAAAGGTAAAAACCATTCATTCAATATAACGCACATTAGGTCATTAATTAAGTTGGATATTTGTCTAGTTTGGAACAAGATTTCGGGCTATTTGGTTAATTTGGTTTTGTATGTATATACACGCATTGCTTAATTTATAAAAAAAAAGTTCAAATATGAATGTGGCGAATAGATTTTGGGCAAATCGTTAAAATAGTGATGATGATGGGGGTTCTTGCAGACAATGCCGAAAGAAGCAAGCGAGTTCGAGTTGGGAAAAGTGGGATATTGCATGGTGCTGATAGCAACGGCGCTGGTGTGGCAATGCTTCTTCGTGGGAGCTGTCGGGGTGGTGTCATGTGGCTCTTCTCTGCTCTCCGGGGTGCTCATTGCGACCTTCTTGCCGGTCACTGAGATTTTGGCGGTCTTCATCTATCACGAGCCGTTTGGGGCCGAGAAAGCCATTGCTCTCGTCCTCTCGATTTGGGGTTTCATCTCTTACTTCTATGGCGAGTACAAACACACCAAAAAATCAACGCATACCTCGGAATGACGATCGATCATCTCTCTTTTTTCTGTAGTTTCAATTCATCCATATATGGGCTTTAGAGAGTTATAGCTAGCTAGTAGACAGCTTCTTCTGCCTCCTAATCTTGTTCGCTGGGAAGTAAAGGCAATTATTAATTTAGCCTTTATTACCCATAATCTCGCCATGAAGATTTTGAGTTGTTGATTTAGGAGTCTTGAAAATTTTGAACCATTTATCCCTTTTCTTTTTTTTTTCTCGGTAAGGTAATTATCAATTTGCATTGGAACTTATCACCATGGCCAAATATATCCAAGCATTGAATAGATACAGGTCGTATAGCCCACGAGTCACAACAATATAAAGCAAATCCACAGGAAGAAAAAAAGATAACTACAAAGAGTCTAAACTAAGTAATGAAATCAAAATAAGGCAGACTGTGATTCCCTACTGCAATAGGAGAGGCTAATTTAGGATACAATGTACGTACTAGACTTAACACCATTAGCAACCATAATAAATCCTTTAAGTAATGAATGACTGCCATAACATCTCTGGTGATAGTGCTTAGGGATGGCAATTTACCCACCCATGGGTAATTTTGCCCAAACCCAAGTAGACCCATTTATTATGGGTAGGGTTTGGGTGATGTGTGTATGGGTTTGGGTTAGATATGGATATTATCTAAATGGGTATGGGTTGGATATGGATATCCATTTACTTGAGAGTGTTTTAACTACACATGCAAAAATTGGACCTATTTGTAAAAATTGAAAAGTTTAGGTACCAAAATGTAAGACCAAAAAATTTTAGGTACCAAAACGTAATTTTCCATCGATATTTTGAGGACTTATATGTAAAAAAAATTAAATTTAGGTACTAAATATGCATATCTATTAAGTTTAGGTACCAAACTGTAATTTGTGTTTGGGCATGGGTACAAACCCAAATCCAACCCAAAGTAAATGGGTATGGGTACAAACCCATCAAACTTTACCCATATCCATATATTTGGATTTCATACCCAACCCAATTGGGTTGGATAGTAAAATACCCATGGGTATGGGCAAAATTGCCATCCCTAATAGTGCTTAAGGGGCGATCATTGATGGAACGAATCAGGTCAGTAACCTTATGATTAGTAACCATGAGTAATCTGTCCACGTCAGCATGACATCAGTATCCTCTCTCTCATGGAAAGTCTTTTATTTATTCCCCTTTAATCTTTAACGGGCGATTTCTCACTCGTTTTAAGCTGAAATTTAATTTTTTTGCACAGATAAATTAGATTAAATGTGCTCTTTAAAAAAATATACACTTTGATATATTTTTAGCTTGGCCTAGTACCACAACCACAAGAGCAAATTTGATCAGGAATCCAAGTTATATTCTTTCTGCTTATGACCAGTACAGGTAATATCCAGTGAAACGGGTTCAAATTGCCATCACTAGTTTAGAGAGAATACTATATGCTATCCAAAGAAGATTAGAACTCAGTCGTCTAGATTAGGCAGATTACGGCGAACAAAATAAATAGTTTGATCGGTCCACCAAATTAAAGTTGTTAGATATTTAGGGTTACCTTTGGTGTCTGGCAATTTCACTAACACGGAATGTGAAGTCTTGGTAGATCGGTTGACTAGTCGGATCAGAGGTTGGAGAGCTGGTAAATTGTCATATGCAGGATGACTCCAACTTGTTTCCTCTGGCTTGTACTCTCTCTGCCAGTATTGGATGACCATTTTGTTCTGCCTAAGAAGGTCATTGAGCGTATTCAAAAGATCTGCTCATACTTCTTATGGTTTGGAGAAGGCACGGGGAAAGCAAAAGTTGCCTGAGATCTATTAGTTGTGCCAAAGAAAGAGGGAGGCTTGGGATTAAGGGACCCTCGTACTTGGAACGTGGCTTGTATCGCTCGTCTCCTGTGGTTGTTGTTTCTGCAGGGGGTGGAGTTTTTGGGTGGCGTGGATATGGCGCTACAGGCTCAAAGCTCGATCTATTTGGGAGCTGAAGCCTACTATGACAGGCTCTTGGCTTTGGTGACAGTTGCTAAAGCTAAGAGGATGGTTCCAATATAGGATGACTGTTGACAACCAGCAGAATGTACTTTGGGAAGGCAAGGTTATGAGAAATATTTCAGTGCAGCAGGTCTGGGAATCGATTAGAGTTCACAAACCATCAGTTCCCTGGAGGCAACTTATTTGGGGCAGGTTCACTCTTCTAAGAAACAGGGTCATAGTGTGGCTGATCATTCTGAATCGTATTGTAACGAGGGATAGGCTTAAAGCTTGGGGAAAATTTTCAGATGCAGTGTGTGTGATGTGTGCTAGGGACGAGGAAAGTAGATATCATTTGTTTTGTGAATGTGAGTATGTTGGTAGTCTGTTTGCAAAAGTGTTTGGATATCTCTTTCGTAGCTGGAAAACAGATTGGGAGCAGCTGTTGTAAGAGCTGTGTATACTGGCGAAAAAGGGTAAAGAAGGACCTGTTACTAGTGCTGTCTGGTGCTGGATGCAGCTTGGTTTGGAAAGAACGTTGTAGACGTGTGCTTGGAGAACAGGCTAAACCATGGGATGTGATCTTCGCAAAATTGCGGGAGGAGATTAAGCTGTTGGCAATTGGTGATGACCGATTTTATGCAGCTTTGCACTATAGTAGTATTGTTAGAAACTTACAATTACACTTTTAAGATTTCAGCTAGTTTCATTGTAAGATGTATATATGAAATTTTATGCGACTTGATCAAATTGATTAAGTGAGCTTAATGGGAAGAATAATTTTCGGAAAAAAAAAAAGCAAAAAGGGATGGATTTAAGAAGTGGTAATTATTAAAATAATAAATTTGAGTGCAAATACCACATTTGAAATACCACTACTTATGAACAATCCAAACGTGATATATCATCCAAATATCACATGTATAGAAAATAACATGTATTATGTCATGTGACATTTGTGTGATAATTAACTCCAAATAACAGGTTTGATAAATATTAAATTCAAATGACATATAATATTTATACGCTATATATAATACATGTTAGTAATGTGTCATGATAAAAAAAGAATAATAGCCCATTTTCATTATTAATTGATCATGTGTTTATATACTTTATTGAATCATATTATTTAGTTCATAAATTTTAATTAGATAATACCACATAATTCATAGTATCTAGCCCATCTAATACATAATTTCTCTTTTCAATTATATGTGAGATATATTAGCGCACATTCTAATTCATAATTTCTCTTTTAAATTATATGTGAGACATATTTTCACATGTACTCAAAGTATTAAACATTATACTTCGTGAGATATATAACAACTTTAAACAAGCTAACACATAAGCTAATATCGAATTGCTCATAAATCGTTAGTCGAGTTAGCTTGCTAGGCAAAATATTAAGCTATGAGTTCATAATGCCTAACTCATGAGTTAACCTCAACAAGTTATCGAGTCAAACTGCCTCACGAGCTTCATAAGTGGAAAAAGTTTAGTTCAAACTCAACTAGTTGCTAAACGAGCTGAGTGTCCAACGAAATTTTTCGAGCCAAAGGTGAGTACCTCGCCATATTTGAAGCCCTAGGCATACTTGAGAATTGTGGTAGTAAGTTGTCTACGTTTTTATATAGGTGATTCTATGAGGTGAGAAATAATAGGTGTCATTATGGATTATATAGGTGATTCAGACCAAATAGGTGCTTAGACTATTTTATTGAGCAAAGTAGAGCCCACTTAATACCAAATTAGAAAAAAAAAAATTTAATGGCGAGGGCTTGATTAGCAAATCTCGAAAATCATAAGGAATACCATAGAAATGGTTTAGCAATTTCGAAAATAAACCCCATAATTCAGGCTCAATTTTCTTATAGATCAGCAATAAGAATGAGAACTTTGCTATGTTGATTTGCAAGTCATTATTATTCGGACAAAACGTTCGACCTCTTCATTGATATGGTAGATTTATTTTGAAAAATTGGTCGACCTCTTTGCTGGAATGGTCGACCAGATGTACTAGTTTCCATTTTGCTATCTTCAACAAACGGTCGACCTCTTCCACTAAAAGGTTGGCCACTTTACAAGAAAACGGTCTACCACTTCCATCAAGTGGTCTACCTCTTTCACCAAGCGGTCCACCGCTTTCAATAATCGGTCGACCTGATGAACCATTGCTAGTGATATAATCATAAATAATTAGAGTACAATATTAATAGATATGCTTGTTAGTAAGAGATTTAAAATGACTACAAAGGTTGCAAGCATAAATGACAAGTTTATCGATTCATTGTTCTCCCGTAGATTTGGAAAATGTTCTGCATAGTTATTTCCTATATTTGACTTACTCTATAAAGACTTTCATCTTTCCTTCAAATTCTAGGTTTGCTTGTTTTTTATCCTATCATTGTCTTGTGACCGGTTGCCTCAAGTATTAGACCACTAGGTGGAAGTGGTATATAATTTTCTTGAAAATTGGTCGAACACTTGGTGAAAGAGGTCAACCATTTGAAGGTAAGTGTGTCTTCAGGTCGACCCATTTTCGAAAGCGGTAGACCGGTTGACTCAAGTGGTGGATACTTGGTGGAAGTGGTAGACCATTTTCTTGGAAAGTGGTCGGCCACTTGAAGGTAAATGTTTCATCAGATCGACCTATTTCCAGAAGCGGTGGATCGGTTGACTCAAGTGGTAGACCACTTGGTGGAAGAGGTCGACCATTTTCTTTGAAAGTGGTCGACCACTTAATGAAAAAGGTCGACAGTTTTCTCCAAGTTATGGTGACTTGCAAGTCACCATAGGCATACCCTAAGGATGATTCACCCTATAAAATCTTTGTTACTGTTTGGGGACAAATAAGGTCATATATAGTCTGATTTTGTCCAATTTAATTTGATTTATTTCATATTTCTCTTGATATTCTAAAAAAATCGACATTTTGTAAATTGAAATAAACGGTACTTCATATTGATTAATTCGAGCAAACGATAGTTTGATACACCAAAAAAGTTATGTGTGATTCGAGTGGGCTATAATTCATTTTTTACATAACAATTTGTGAATTAGACGAACAAAAAACTATGAAAAATGATAGATTGAAGGGTTATCAACCCCGTCTCACCCAAGTTTCTAATTAAAATTTTTTACATAACAATTTGTTTTATAAAAATAACATTGTTAGGTGATACTCATGCTCTCATAAGATAGCCTAAATGTAAACTCTAGGTCACAAACATCGAAATAATGTGTGCCAAAAAGATAGTCA